TGATGAAAGAGCAGGCAGAAATGGCGACTAAGATGGAATTGGAGTTGGAGGTGAAGAAACTCAACATCCAGCTGATGAAGGCCCAGGAGATCACCTTCAACAGCAAGGCAGAGACACTTCACCTCAAAATTGAGCTTGCAAAACTCATGAAGGCTGATTTGGATGCAACCCCTCCCACTGCATAGGTTTATCTTGTCATGGCCAAGTTTTTACCCACACTTCCCCACCATATCCATCTCCAGCACATTCCCACTATGTACTCATGTCATATTCATGTTTCCACTATTCTTTTGCAAGATGTACATATGGTGAATGTATTTTTTTCATCTTGCTAATACTATCATCTCCCACAACCACCATTAATGGGTTCATTCCTGTCTGAGATGTTGAAACAACTGATCCAATAGCTTTGCTCAAAATCGCTGACCAGTAGTCTCCACAGCCTCCACTGCAGCAATTCCATCCCCATCATCAAGGCTGCTTCCTTCATTGACCACCCAGTCAGTTGTATGCTCAATCATATCATCCATTTCCTCCTCAAACTGGATGATCATGTTGTGTAGGATGATGCAACAAAGCACCCAGAGAATCGTGACTTTCATATCTTTCTCTGTCCAGATTTTCAGGCACACTTCACAGAGGCTTTGAAAGCGCCCTTTCAAGGCAGCATATGCATGTTCAACTCATACTGGATCTTCCAAAGCTGTCAGCCCATGTACTGCAGCAAAACTAGGTGCATACCTTTGAAAGGTACTTGTTATACACATTCTGATCTTGAGATAATCTCCCACCTTTAGGTTTTTTGAAGGGGACAACACACCATGTCTCTGCTGGGTATGCACTGTCTTCCCATGTCCAATGATCACATGGAATCAACTGCATAGGGTTTGAAGTGATGCAAGTCCCATGGAAGGCCCACACATCATGGACATGTCCTGGATGTCCAAGTCCATAGTCCATGACAAGGATTGTGTGGCAAAACAATAAGCTATCTTAGTAAATTTCTTCTGCTGTTCACACTCAGCATTTGAGTACACACCTGGCAGTTCAATGAGTACCTAGATTTTCTATCATAGAACATTTCCCTGAAGATATGTGGTTTCTCAAAGAGGGGAATACTTGAACCATCAGCAGTGAACACACCATTCCTCCAGGCTGAACAGGTGCATGACTCAGTGAAAACCTGTGCTCTTTCCATCTCCTGTGAGTCTTCAGACAGAATATTGATGAATCTATCATGCTCATCCAGTATAGCTACCATCACATGGTTCATACAATTGACAACTGAGCCAATGCTAACACCAGCCCACTGCACTACATCCTCAGGTGATGCTGCATTTCCATAATGCCCTGTGTGGAAAAGGAAGATTGCCAACAGGACTGCAACTGCCAGCTGACAGTTTTTGGAATTGCTTTGGAATATTGTGTGTCCACTAATCTGATCCAGAATGTGATCAAAAATTGGTGGGTCTACATGAAGGCACTTCCAAAACAGGTGGGGCCAATGATCCATGAAATGTTCAAGGAGGCACAGCTGAGATGCCCACATCATTGGCATCTCAGGTCTCTCAAGGATACATGCATGCTCTACTTCATCTCTGAGAGCTGTGATTGTGTTTAGCAGCTGAGCATAATGGCCATCACACTCAGCTGTGGAGTCTGTGTCATTGGAGGCGCTGGATTCAAAATCTGACAGGATTGGAGTGACTGGCAATGGTGGAGTGATGAAGAAGAGAGTTGTGGGGGAGCTGGAGCCTGAACTCAGTGATGTTGACATAGATTCCAAGCTGCTACTGTCAACTCCACATTGTGCATTTTCAAGCCTTGCTATTGCAACATGAAGGCTAGTCTCATCCAGCTGTTTGAGCAGATCTTGGCAGACAGATTTCCAGGGCATCTGGTAGCTCTTGGATGATGGGTAGACGTTTATTGATCATGTACAATGCATTAATACAAGTTTGATATGTTATTTGACATGTATCTTCCAGGATAAGTAACTACCATGTGTTGCTAGTCAAGCAGTGCTACAGGGCCTGGCACATTGGAGTCAAATTTTATAGCAGCAGTGGCACAATTCCAGAGCACTTCCAAAGCCACCTTGAGTGCCACTAATATATATGGCCTGTGATTTTTTTGGTGAATGACCATGACACTGGATGTACAACTGTAAGATCACATTCAATCTAACCAAAATTTTGGCCACCCTAAAAAGTCATGGGAAAAACTTTGGACCACTGTTTTTTGATGTATTTTCACCTGTAGCATCTGAATCAAGTGTTAGTTTTCCCCAAAAGTGTCATGGGAATCCAGAATCAAAATCATTGTGTTTGTCTGTCCACAACTGTACCACAGAATATGATAAATAAATAGTGTAATAAAATATCAATATCCTGTTCCACCATGGAGCATTATAAACTGTGAAGTAAGCATGTTATGTGTAGATGTAACAATTCACAATCTTACATGACCATTAATGCCTCAGAATAATAATGTTTTATTTCCCCTTTTCTTTCTCCTCCTTTATACCTCCCTTTTTAGTTACTCATTTGTCTCCCACTGCACTCTGAATGTACATAAACTGTAGTTACTGATGTACTTGCTCCCCAGTCTACCTTGAACAGAGACTTTCAGCCAGTTCTTCCTGAGTGACTGTAAGACTTACTCCAACAAGAATGGACTACCCCCATGTGACTTAAATGAAGTCACTTTTGTCACAGTAGAGGTGTTGTGAAGGTTCTGAGCTGTACAGTTATTGTCAGACTGCTGCCTACTGCAAATACAGTGCTGAACTCCCCATTTCTTGCATGAACTGCCTTGTGCTCTTTCACTTTCAAAAGTGGACTGGGGACATTCATGAGTGGTGGGGGTGCTATCAGAGGCTACTCTTTCTCCAGTCAGTCAGGGCATCCATGGATTTTGGACTATCCTGGTCTACCACAGAACATTATAATGTGTGTCATCAATGTGTTGTTGCAAGAAAAAACAAAGGACACAGAATACTCAAGTATAAAAAGTCAGGTGGCACATATCATGACTGACTGAGGTTTATTCCATGAGATGAGATCATGTGGCAGCATGTGGTGGGGTGGTTGAGCAGGGACAAGCAGTGGTAGCATTGATGGTTACAGGTGCCACTTATCATGTTCTGTGGTACAACAGGACACTTGAATACACTCTTTATTTATCATGTTCTCTGGGAGGCAAGTCAGTGTGATTTGATTGAAAATATTTACCATGTTAATATGGAATCTCAGTAGCATGTTTTTGCACATAACAAATATTGTTTTAAATATCATGTTTATGAAGTAAACATTGAGCCAATAATCTGATGTTTTGTGGGTCAACATTGAAAGACTTGGTTAAAGGTTATTAGTATTATCACATACAAAACATTTATCATTTACTTGTGATGTTCTATGCAACATCACACATTCTCTAATGACTAGTGTGTTTAAATTATTTCATGTTACAACATTTGATTAATCAATTACATAACATGCGGAAAACAGTACTAATATTTTTTTTGATGATTGTTTTTGGTTTTTGGTGGTAGGTCATAGTAATTGATTTTCACCAGCAAAACATTGGAAATCTACTGTGCCATGTTTTCTGTCAGAAAAGCCATTCAATACATAAGATTATTTCCACTTGTTCAAGCAGAGAGCATGTGATAAAATAGAGTATCTTTTAAAAGAATTTTTTTCAGCATGTTTGTGCAAAGAAAATTGTAAAATGCTTGCTGTGTCACACAATGTGGAATTTCCCTCTGCACAAGGCAGAATTCTGAACATGAGCCATCACTGTTACATAACACCTGCTGAAATTCTGTGTTTGTCTCTGTTGCACCATGGTTCAGCCTGAATGAGGACAGTCAGCATTCAAAGTCCCTGGGAGGTGTAGGGAGCTGTATACTCCCTGAGGCTGAAACAGGAAATGTCAATACATTCCATTGCCCCTGCAACAGGGCCCTATCACTCTATGCCTTTGGGATTCTTCCTGCTCATTGCCTTCTGTTTTGTCCCACCCCCTTTTGACTTTGGAGTTCTCCCCAACCTCCAACATGTCCCCTGGCTGTCAATAAGCTGATCCAAAAAATTCTGCATTCACCCAGAGATGTCAATACACTGATTTGGAATTCCACATCTGAGCCACAGTCCAGCCACATCACCAGTAGGCAGTGTCATTTGCCTCTAAAAAACTCCAGTTCCCCCTATTGCACAAAATTCCACAAATCATTCTTTGTATGCATAGGCTCCTCCCTTCTGCAGTTCTGCCCTTCCCACCAACTCCACCTCTCACCTGTACACATACCATTGTTCTGGTGAAAGATACCCCCCCCCCTTGCCTTTGTTCCTTTTAACCTCATTTACATCTCATCAGTCTATTTCACATGTGTTCATACTTCACTGACATCTGTCATCCTTCCCTTTATTTTCTGGCATTTTAGTTTTTCTGCCCCACATTACTCTGACTCATACCTACATCCCATGTACTATATAATTCTGCCATAGTGTTGGAAAAATACCACCCCATCTTTTGGAGTCACAATCTGTGTCACTTGCATGTCTAAGTGTTCAAAGAGTCATCTGTGTCCTCTGTGTCTTCTGCATATCCAAGTCTAAAGTGTCACCTGTGTCTACTGTGTCTATTGCATCTTCTGTGCCCTCAAACCACTCCTTGTGTCCCTTCACACATGTCTTTCTCACCTTGGAATTACTTCTTTGCATCAAGATCATCACTCAGAATTTCATAAACAAGTCTATTCATACACAAATCATCTACAGCTCTGCAGAATTAAATTCTGTGCCCTACATTTGACTTCCTGACTGGCTCTACCATCATATTCTATGTCTCCTTCCTACTCAGCACCCCTTGGGTTGAGCCTAGGGATTTCCCTACAGCTTTCCCCCTATTCACACACTACCCAGAGGTAGTGTCCCACACTGGTACATTGAATCAACTGTTCATGCATTTATATTGGCCCCCACATTGCTACAGAAATGGACACAGACCTAGCTTTAGACCTACTACTGCCACCCAAAGCTGAAGGTAAGCATTGATTGACTGATGACATGAAGTCAGCAATGACTATCTGAAATTATAGATACTTGATTCTTGGCAGCTGCCATCACCCCACTGCCAACTCCAACACCAGAAGATCAGCCAGATGTATTTGTGTACAGAATGGAACCAACTGCGATGAACATTCCAGGATATGTGTTCTGCCTGGATGGGTAAGTTTCATTTCATTGCATGAGACTAGTTAAGATGGCTGATGTGGCATGATCTATCTGATGAGGAGAAGATGCAAATGGAGGTTGACAGGTTTGTACATCCTGGAGCTGATAGTGCTCGTAAGCATTCAGATAATGTTGGGGTAGTCAGTTGACATCCACACAGTATACTGGGCCATTCATCAACTGAGATTTGATTGTTGTCCTGTCTGGTATCATTTCCCCTTTGTCCTGAATGAATGGTATGATCCAGCAATCATGGGTGGAATGGCCCAGATGGCAACAGAATTTGCATATGCAGTATCCCACCAGATGGACCTTTGTGAGGAAGGCAACAGGTGCCTGGGTCAGCTAGACAATCTGGAGGAGTTCCATAATCCATTTGTTATGTAAGGCCTTCAATGCTATGCAGGACAGTCACAATCTCCAGCTTGAAACTCAGTAATAGACATGATTGTCATGTACATGAGTTGCTGAATTGATACTGCAGTGTGGCACCTAACCCAGCTGCCAAACATGGCTCACTGGCCCAAACACTGGTATGAATGTCTGTGCATTGATATGGTGAGTTTTATTTCTAGGCAGATGTTCCCACTTGTGTACATTTATCCAGGGCACCATGGACTGCCTCATCCCCATAGCAGTCATTAAGAATTGTTGTCGACCCCCACTTCCTGCTGCATACATCTTACATCATATGGGTGGATGGACAGAACCAACCTTCCACGATGCCTTGGTGAAAATTCCCAAGCTGCAGATAACTGATTTCACCTGTAGCATTATCAAGCTGCTACCTTGGTGGTCTCTGCATCCAGAGAGGGATGGCAGCTTTGTGTTACCTTGGTGGTTGGACAGCATATCCAACTATGCAAACAAATCTTGGGTCTTGCATTCTGATGAGGTGCAAACCATTGCCCAGAGGTACTTCAGGGTATGGATTCTGAGATGTCAACTTTGTATGTGAGGATAATCATACTTTGCTCAGAACCTTTGGCCATTGCCAAAGTCCCCCACCAAGGATTGCCTACATGGGGTCTTGGAAGCCTGGGTAGAGTGGTATAAGAACAATGCACTGAGGGTAGAGGTGCTGCTCCCAGGTCTGATGGCCAAAGTTGAAGAATTATTTGAGCAGCTCACCTGCATGGCTCAGATGTTGGGATGGTACCATGAACCCAACACATGCATTGTATGTACAGATGGAAATTAACTTGTATTACTGCAGCAGATATACATTTTTCTGGGACTTCTCTACACAATACATTAATTCTTGTCTACAGTTATGTGGGACCTGCCCACAGATCTGTCACAATATCCAACATATGTAGCCTGCAACATGGCAGGATGTTTACATACTGATGCATGTTCTCTCACATGTAATATATGAGGCATGTGCAATTGCTGTCTGTGCCATCGACCTGGTGAACCAATGCAGCTCCTGACATTGCGATTATGGTGCCTGAATTGTATCGCAACCACATTCCTAGCTCTGGGACAACAAAGTCGAGTGGAGCATAGCATCTGACAGTCAGCAATGCATCCAACCATCCCTTTCAGCCATTCATATCTTTATGGGGGAGACACTCCTGATTTACCATCAATGACATGGAACTGTGGATGCTGTTCCAGATTGGCAATACAGCCTGCATATCCTTGTCTTGCCATGTGGCTGCCCTCAATCTGAGTCACATGAGTGCCTCCTGCCCATTTAGGTACATTTTCGGGTGCATGATCTGCAATGCACCCAATAGGATAGTGTGTAGACCAGCCATGCTATCCAGCCATTGTCTGGTCTCCCTTGGCTGAGATTTTTCTTTTAACAGTAGTGATACTTCTGGGTGATGTAAAGGGTTACTGGGCTGTTGGCAGAGTTACAGGAGTGAAATCATCTTCAAATGGATAATGGCTCACCCCATGTGCTTGCTGAAACCATGCTGGTGAGAGGTCAATGGTGCCTTTAAGATCTGTGGCTTGGTGAAAACAGTCTGAATCATGCCACCAGCCACCTGCCCCATTGGACTTCATGCTCTGCACCAGTGGGATCCTGAGTGTTCCCAACAAATTCCAAATCTCAGCCTTATCTGAATGTTAGTGCAGTGCAGGACACCTCATGCAATTTGCCAACCTGATATGCCTCACTGAATGCATTTGGGAGATACCACAGGAGGATGTTTCCCTCTTTGTCAATTACCACTGCTGGATGGTTGATTTCCACATAAGTCAAACTGTCCACAATGTCATTCATATCCTGCATTTCCTCAACAATGACTGTGATGCTCTTAGCCTTTGAAATTTTGCAGGTGAATGAACTTACTGCATTTGCAATGTGCCTTGACTATGACCAGTAAAATGTGATCTGCTTTGCAAGCTATCTGCAATGGAATCAATATGTGCATTGCAACCTAGGACATCATATATGCAGAGACACAGTCCATCAGATCCATTTTCCAGTTACCCAGGAGGTTTTCAGGCCTTTGTAATGGTGTCATTGTGCAGCAGAGAAGTGGCAGATTGTTGGACTGAAATTCTGAGATTGTTTGTATGGGTGGTCAATAAGACAAATTGGTATTCAAATTATGGCAATTCCTGGGACCTGATATATTCTCAAGCCTCAGCAAGGAAATCCAAGCTTAATCCAAGCTATGGAAGGTCAGTCGATGTTGCACATTTGAATTGTTTCTATTGTCCAACCTCATGGATGTATCTGTGCAACAATTCCATCTTTACAATCTTTGCATATGCCCCACTTGATATATGATGTGATAAAGGTGGCCTTGTTCCTGTTATTGTGACAGCCAGGCTGATGTGGACTTGCTTGTTGACACAACCAGCACTAATACCAGCTACTGCTGCTCAAAGCATCAGTTAGCATGGGTTGCTGGGCTTTTGATATTCAGCACATTGTTGGGCCAGCCATGTATGTGAGGGGACACTACCAAGGATCTGCCCACTGGCCACCATGCCCGCAATCTTGCTGGAACAGCATTCAGCCACATTGTCACTTGGAGGTTTGCAATCAATACTCAAAAAATCTTGCAAAGGCATGGGAACACATTGAATATATTTCCTTCACTTTCCATCCCCACTTCTATTTGTGGGGTACTTTGACAAGATGTCTGAGACAAATGACAGGTCCATCCCTCAAGTGGGCCATTATCTGCCATCAGACTGACATGCCCAAATATATATGGGGTGCAATTGCTCTGCATTCCCACTTTTTTCCGTTTCTGATGGGATCCCAAGAATTGCCACTGCCTGGACCACAAAATGAACCATAGGCATGCATATAAGTTTCAATGAGTGCCACCTTGCTTAGATGCTCCTGTTCAGTCATTGTGCTGACATCTGCTGCAGAAATGAGTTGACCTGGCCATATGTTGTGAAGAGTGCAACATCACATGGACAGGCCCTTCGAAGGATTATGATTTCATGCACCATCCATATGACTGGCTTTCCCATTATCTTCTACTGGGTCAACATTGCTTGCACCCAGCCCACCATGTGTTTTGACACAATCCACCAAATCAACATTGGGCCCTCTATAGGTTGCAATGGATGCAACATCCAGTCTACTGGCCCATCTATGGCCTATGAGAGCACTCACAATACATCGCATGTGCCTGCCCATCAGTTTCAACGGGTTCAACATTTCTTTGACAGGCCCAACCATGTCTTACTATGGCACCTGTGATATACTGCATGGACTGTCCATCAGTTTTGATGTGCTCAACAATCCATCGACATGCCTGTCCATGGGTTGTAACAGCATCCACCATTTAACTGACAGGCCTGCTCATACATTACGATGCATGCAACATCACTTCCATGGGCCAGACCATTTGTTACAACAGTGCTCTGCATACTTAGGACAGGCCTGCTCATCAGTCCTGATTGGCTTACCACGAAAACGGGCATATCTCGACAATAGCTGCGCGGAATTTGACAAAAGAGGCGTCCCCAGAAAGGGCTATGCGAGGGGAACGGAATTCCGGGAAATAGAGAGGAAGCAGCACTCAGATGCGCGAGATACAATGAGATTACCTCAAAGGCAGGGAGAAGGGGTCGACTCGCACAACAACGGCTGGGATGATAACGCGAAGTTCCGGGAGGCGGTAGGGGACTTGTAGACGAACAGGTAGAATGCAGAAATGCGCAGTTTGGATCACCCGATCCTGAGATACATGCCAAACCATCCTGCAACCCTCCAAACACGAAAACGGTGATGTCTCGACAACGGTTGCACGGAATTTTACAAACTAGGTATCCACAGGAAGGGTTCAGCGAGAGGGATGAACGACCGGAAAAGCGAGAGGAACGGCGCCGAACTGCGTGAGCTACTTTGGCAAGACCTCGAGGATGGGCCTTCGCACGAAAACGCAAAGATCTCTGGAGCCACTGGACCTATCAGAACAATCCAGATATCAACATGGAGCATTCATTGAGGAATACAATCTTTTCAAAAAACGAGAGGTGTAACGCAGAAACGAGCAAGATATGACTACAGGACCCTGAGAATGGACCTATCCACAAAAATGCGAATATCTCCTGAACAGCTGGGTGGATGCAAACAGGTTTGGTACCGACAGAGAGCTAGCGTCGAGTAGTACGAGCCTGCCAAAAAGCGAGAGGCATGGAGCAAAAACGAGCAAGATACATGCTGGATACATGCTCAGCATGAGAGAGGTAGTATTCACCTTGATGAGTGATGAGCAGTGTTGATGGTCTGGGAATGAACCATCCTCAAGGCAGTCTCTTGTGTGGAAGTGCCAGTCAGCTGGGTGACTTCAATATGAGCATTATCCCATGGGAAATAGGGGTATAGGCAAATGGCAGCAAAGCAGAATTTTGAGATGGTGCCATCTAATTCTGCAAGTATGTACAAGCTGCCTTTAGTGCATCTGATGATGATCATAGGCCCTAGATAGCATGGTTTGGTTTTCCAGTTGAGTTCTAGTTCAATGCAGGAATTCTGACCAAGGATGAGCAACCCTGGTTTGAAGTTAAAGTCTTTGATAGAATGTGCAAAACAGTTGACAAAATCCTTGGCTGAGGCAAAGTAGTGTGAGTCAAAGTGTGGTTCAGTGGTGAAAACCAACACAAAAGACAAAAAGAGCAAGTGGTGGTGTGCCTATGCAGTACCTAGATGGTAGAACCTGTTCTTTGGGAGGGTTTTTGCAAGCTACAACACTCAAAGATGAGTGCTGATGGTTGGGGGTGCTCCTGATGAAGAAGAAGCAGGAATGTGAGAGAATGCAATAGGGTAGACTGCTGTCAGCCTACAGAAGGATGGATGATGACTTAATTCAATGTCCTAAGCTGCACTGAGCTCAGGGAGGGCTTGGAGTGAAGTATATTGATGACAGACAAGGATAAGTGAAGTAGACAATAGTTAGACCCTTAATAAAGTCTCAACTATCAAAGCTGCTGAATGAATTACTGAGTGATGATAAAATGTGAGCAAGAGGGGCTCTCTGATGTCTTTTTTTTTTTTTTGCTATCTAAGTACAGTGATTTATATACAGTACAGGGGTGTTGCCTTTGGAAAACAAGGTGCAAACACTTGGTAAGTGATGGGTAATCATCTTGGAAAGCATTGGTAAGCATTGGTAAGCATTAGCAAGCCAAAAGGCAAAGAATCAGTAAGCAAAGTTAAAAGATCGGTAAGTATTGGCAATAGGTGAGTCAAAGACAGTCAGAATGTCAAAGTATGAGTCAAGTAATGTCAGGAACTGGGAAAGCGCACTGGAATTGCATTAGGGGGAGGCTGTGCATGTCACATCTCAAAGAGATTGCTTCTAGGCCAAGGTGGGATGACAGAGAGGCAGTGCTGATCTGATGCTGATATAGTACATTTAAAAGTGGACAGGGTGAGTCAGATGTCAACAGGGGTCAAGCTTTGGGGGTCTGTGGGGTGGCAGGATGATAGGGGAATGCAACTTTCCCCCCCAAACCATCCTCTCAGTGAAGCAAATAAAAACTTCATGAACAAGGCTCTGTTGGAAGAGAGGATGAAGGGGGAGTGTCTTCTGCTGTATCTTGCAACAAGGAGGCAAGATGTGCATCATACTTGTCATGGATGCAATCAGGGAGAGTGGAGAACAGTAGATTATACTGTAGCTGTCACAATCTTGGAAGAATGATGGATGAGACCTAGTATGAAGACATTGCAGGGAGCAGGGAGGAAGGATCCATATGCTTCTTGGACTGGAGAGACTGAAATGACCACATAAGACCTTTCCAAGCAAATGACAGACCTGAGGCAACCAAAGAACATCCTCCTAGAGGTCATACTGACAAAAAGAACACACTGTCCAAGCTGGATGGGCTGAGAGGGCACAGATGAGGGTGGGATGTACCAGGATGCTTCAGGATGGAAGCTGGTAGGAACTCCTGGTAGATATATGTAGCCATGGTCCCTAGCAAAAGGGACAAGTGAAATGATTGATGTAGAGGCAGCCATATCAGAAGAATTTAGCAAAATGAGTGTCTTTTGGAGGGAGTGCTGTAGAAATGTGTGGAGTGCACAAATCCTTTCCAGTTTTGGAAGGTAAGATTGCATGGCTGAGCACTACAAGAAAGTGTGGGAATGGTCTCTGTTTCTGCAGAAATGGTGGAGATATGTCAAAAACCAGAATGCCATACACAGGCACTTATGAATTTTAGCCAGCACTTAACTCACTCCCTTTCTTTTTCTCTGGCACTGATGACCTGTTCTTGTGCAAGGGATGACTGCCAACATTCCTGGCTGTCATTCTTCACATGAGGGCTATGGTCTTCATCTCCATTCATCAGCTGTATCCATGTCCACCTCACCAAACACCTTTGGTGTGTGACAGCACATGAAGAGTTGTTGGACAAAGCTGAGAAGCTGTAGGCTAACAGCAAGTGTTGGCCCCAGTGGGGCACAGGGGAAGTAACCCATCCAAAGGAGTTGGAGGGCTGCAGGTGCACAAGGACAGACAGCCAGATCAACTGATTGCAGAGCTGCCATGAATGCATCTAAGCAGAGGAAAATGACAAAGAACACAGAAATCTCACCATTGAAATCAATGCAAATGACTCTCAGTTTTCAAGTCTGGTGACAATCACACATTGGCAGTTCATAGTCAACAGGATTCTGGAAGTGGTTGGATAGTCATTGATATGCAAGGTATGGCTGAAGGAGGGAAGGGATGACAGTGTGTGACCACTGCTGCCACTGCTTCATTTTTTTTTTTGGGCATTCCTAGACAGTAACAGAGTGGGTCTTGGCTAATATGTAGCCCATCAGTTAAGCAGTCAAAAGTGGCATCATGGGAGAGGTCACATTCACTACCCACAGAAGGCTCTAATGGGCAAGCAGCACTTGAAGCAGAGCAGTGTTGGATGTGTGGGTTGGAGGAATCACTGGGGTGTTGTGTGAAAGTGTGATGGCCAGGTAAGGTGAACAAGTGCTCAACAGGAAGGTAAAGCCCTGCAGTTCTGGGAACACAGTGCAAAGGTTCAGCAGTCTGATGGTCAACAAGGACCATGAGATCATCCGCATGGAGCGAGTCAGGAATCTGGTTCATTGGGGTGGTAACTCATACAGAGGGACCACACCTAGTAAGCTGTTTCAGTCGACAAAAAGACATCTATGAAATTTGGTCAGACACATAAACTGTCTAGGCAAGTTAGTGGTAGACAACAATCCTGCAACACCAAGTTACAGGACTGTGACCAGGACACTGAATCCTGGTTGCTGGAAGGCAACCCCAAGATGCCACCAGCACATCTCCAATAGTTAACCTCCAGCATAGAAAAGTGAACTGACCTTTGCACATGACTAGTGAGGGCGATGGGGAAAGAGATGGAGCAAGTGTATGATGAACAAAATGAGATTGCAATTGTGGAATGCTACAAATATCATTCAGGAAATGTACAGAGTAAAAATGGTATTGGGGAATGATGAAGGAGGTTACTGACTATTTGAACCATAACCATGCAGTACAGTTGGATTAAGGCAGGGAAGAAGGGGCAGACAACCAAAAGTATCAAAGAACAACTGTACATAAAATATAGCCAACTTCTTTTCCATTGCCCAGACATGTGACAATGACACTAATGGCATAATTGGCTCTGCCAAGTCCAAGGGGCATCCTGGCCATACAGCAAGTAATGCCTGGAGCTTCTCTATGTACACCCATTTCAATTGAAAGTCGGACAAGCTGAGGCCTTGATTTTGCTGAGGGAAAGGCTCAGCACACATGGTGAGTTCCAAATCACCAGGGAAAATCTGTGTAGAGTTCAGAAACAGCACATTCCTGGTGAGGTAAAATTGTATGTACCTGCCAGACATGATTGAGCCACTCTGAATCCCGATTCAACCACAAGCTAGGCATCATCACACAGCCAAGAGCAACCAACTCAAACTGGAAGTTGTGTTCATATAAATCCCATAAAATCTTGCTTTTTGTCATCTGATCAATGGTAGTGAGGTCTGCGAGGGAAATTGAAATATCCCGGAATTGTACATGGCTAGGTATGTCATGTTGGAGGCTGATGAGCTCAGGACCAAAGAGGGTGGCAGATTCACATAGTCAGTCACCAGAAAATGTGGATGAAATCTGCTTGGGAATTGTGTTCAGTGTTGGAGTTTATCACTTTTACCTTAGTTGTGGTTCACCGAGCACAGCATTATGTAATCCAAAAGCGGACACTTAGCAGTTTATTTTTTTTTTACTGCACCTCAGCTTCAACCAACTTGAAGTCTGAGGTGGGACTCCTTCCATTCATTATATTGGAACACTTACTTACCTACCTACAGTATATTCCTCTCTATAGACTTGACAATCCTGCAGCTCATCATCCTCCAAAATTCAGGAAATCCTGCCAGGACTGAGGGATAACAGGAGATGCATCTGAGGCAGAAAGATGAGTGATCCAACCCGCTTGAGAGACTAGCCAATTCCTCAGGTACCTCTGCTGGTGATCGGAGGACTTGCCCCTCACAAACAGACTTGGGCTGGGAAAGAAGTAAGCTACCTTGGGCACATTGGGACTAACCCTTTTTGCATCCTTATTCATGTCCTTCAGGGCAGTGTGCTATGCAGACATAGTAGGGGGAATAGCTTGATCACCAAGGTCTTCCCACAGTTCAGGATTCAGAATGACTGACAGCTTGGCTCCTCTCAAGCCCACAGGGGGATCTGAGCAAAATGTTAAACACACTGAGACAAAATGAATAGGATACATACATGGCTGATTACATTGTCGAGCCCTGCCTGTCCTAACAGCTCCCATACTTGAACTTGCACTGCTGGAACTTGCAGCATTGGAAGCTGTGGGACCCATGCTTGTGGGAGTCGAGGCCACACCACTGCTGGTGCATAGTGGTTCCAGCCAGGGAGCCAAAAATTGCTCGAGCCCAATTGCCAGGCCTTGTCAAGTGTGCCTGTGGCATGATTCACCAGGGTGGTACCAGGCACTGTGCCATTTCAGCATCTGCCCAACCTCAAAAACCACAGGATCTGTGACTATGTCATGAGGGCATGTAACCTTGATGGTCTTCAACACTTGCATGTCTGGGGGTACACGATTGGGTTTCCAGACCATCCAGACAGGCACACATATTTCAAAAAGGCACTGGCAAATGTTGGGGTCTGTCATGAATGTGCCAATCCAGTGGTCAAATGAATCGACAAAAGTGCCCATAGCAGGGTTGAGGTCTGTGTCCAGATATTCTAGCATGCCAAAGACATCTAGGAGGAGGCATTGACAAAAAGCAACCAATATGACTGTGTCTCAAAATGTAAATGGGAGTTGCTAGAGAAAATTTTAAATAACAAAATCTGAACCAGAAAAAAATCATGCCTTCAGACACAGGAGACATTGCTGACATGACCCCAGCCACAAATTGGGTCTCAGGGGACCTTTGTAGTGGGGGTGCTTCTTTAGCCAATCTTGCAAACATTTGTCTAGTCAATTATAAATGGTCTCCATTGACTTCCACTTGTTGGCATGAATCCTGCCAACTTTGAAGGCAGACGCTCTTTCCAGCACAAAATCCTCCACTGACTGGGTAATGTTCCACCACAGCCACTTCCATGTTGGGTTGTCTCCATAGGCCACTTTCCAGGGGACACACAGACTCCATGTGTAGCATTCTGCAAACAACTGTGGCCATTGAAAACAGTCTATATGGCTGAACCGTCCATCACATAGGGGCATGATTGTTTCTCCATCAAAGATGAAGGGTTGGGGAACATAGTCAGCATTTAGCAACGTGATTCAGTGGTCATCACACTTTGCTAGGACACATGCATCAAATACACCCCATCTCCCTGAAAATAACAATAATCAATTTGAGCTGAGTTAGGGACAGCAAGAATGCACCATTGCCAGGGTGGTTGTGCAATGATAATTCATAAGGGCAAATGCTAGCTACATTCATCCTGGAAACAAAAGAAGTCAGTCAGTACTTACTTAAATTGATGGAGATAATGATGAGGGGAGAAAAAAATGAATCATGCAGTATTAAGGCCAGTGTAACTGAAATGAAATGAGAATGTTGCCCTTGATAGGCCCCAAGCCTATTGAGAACTCACAAGGCACCAAACCCCAGAGCACTTGGCAGACAAATGCTCTGAATGTTTGGCTCCAAGTACAGCATAAGTTGACTAGATGTTTGAAAGAAAAGTATGAATGAAAGAGAATAAAAACTTACTTTCAAAAAATGTCTTCTTGACAAAGAGGTGATGATGATTGGTGTATTGACTCTGCATGCATATAGACTATGTTAACACCTGAGTTTTGATGAAGAAATGCCCCAGAAACCGTGAGGATAACTCTTGATAGGCCCCAAGCCTATCAAGAACTTGCAGGGACCAAACCCCCAAGACCTGACAGACAAATGCTCCAAACATTCGTGGAAAGAGTGACCAGGCATCTGGAAAAGTAAGATGGAAAAGATAGAGGGAAACTTACCTTGCACTGAATTGGTTTATATGGAGGGGCATCAGTGACTCGAAGTAGTAGGCAGCACTTACTAGTAGTAGTGAGAATTACTATGGGTACTGCTGTGCACATGACCTGCACCACAAATGAATGTGACACCTGACTTACAGCGTGCTCAAGGAAGACATTGAGTCTAGGCTCTAAATTGTCAAATAATCAGGTAATTAGATATAAGTTTTGTGTTCTGTATTTCATTCCTCAATGTTCTGGACTGCCTATTGTAATACTTGCAGGAGACACATTTGTGCATTACAGCAATGACATGTTGATAAGCTACATATAGCAAGTCCTAGTTACAAGTACTAGTGCACCATTGCTACTTTGTTAATAGATTTGGCCACTTTTACCAATGTGACTAAAGTTTCAATGAATGACAGAATTTTAACATGTCATTTCACAATTGCACAATTATTACATCATCACAGCTGAAACAAACATTTGCATCACTCACAGCTAGTACTTAGTGACACTCTCATCTTCTGTATGCTGTCTGCATGGTATTGGGGGAACACTCAGTGTGTTCCTCTACCATATGTCAGGGGCTTGGTGCCCTTGACAGCCTTGAAGGCTTGGAGCCTTCAAGGGTGGTCTTGGTGTCCAGTGGATCTGACAATCAATCATACAATGACAGTCAAGACTGACCCTCATCTTTCAGCAATGTTAATGAAGGTTTTGCAGGTCAGTGCTTTCAACTTAAGTTATGCATCATTTTGCTTCACAGTCTACTGACCCATTTACCAGTGCATACTACATGTACTAGGTCCATCATTCTCCCCACCTCTGGCTGCACTCCATTGTTCTGCCTGGCCAGTATATGCCTTCTATAGCAATGCCCTTGTCTCCCCACTCATCTACCCTTGGTACAGATTCAGTGATCAAGACCCATTGCACTGAGCATGCATGGGTTCCAGATGCAGCTCATAACCTGATGAAAATGTGACCAGAGCTGGCATTGAGCCAGGACCCTCTCAGTGTCAAGCAGCTTCTCTGACCATGGAGCTACCTTGCATTGGATTCTCTATGGTGCTTGTAGGATTAGTGCAGATTACTACTTCAACACCTTAGAGGCTGTGTTGGGACATCCCTCTGGTTGCCAGAGGGGAGGGTGGGATGTCCCAATATAGCCTTAGAGGCTGTTGTGGGACATCCAACTGGTTGGCAAAGGGGAGGGTGGGATATCCCAATGTAGGCTTGGAGGCTGTTGTAGGACATCCCACTGGTTGTCAAAGGGGAGGGTGGGACATCCAACTGCTTGGCAGAGGGAACAGTGGGATGTCCCAATGTAGCCTTAGAGGCTGTTGTGGGACATCCCACTGGTTGGCAAAGGGGAGGGTGGGATGTCCCAAGGCAGCCTTGGAGGCTGCTGTGGGACATCCCAAGTCCCCTTATGAAAGTCAGTGGGATGTCCCATCCCAGCCTCAGTGGGCTATGATGGCACATCCTCCTAAGTTACCTTTGCAGACCAGCACAACGCCCCATGATGACCTCAGAGGCTCATCTGGGACATTCTGCCCTCTGCAGATGGTGTTGCAAAGGTGACCAACCCCATGTTCTATGTGGGGGACTTTGAGATATTGGCTTGTCACACAAGTGTTCAAAAACCATTCACTTCTTCCTTCATACAGTACAAATTGCATGAGGTATAGACACAAATTGATTGAATTTATTATTGCAATTTTCAAGGCAAATGTGAAGGCCCAGGTGGGTCATCTCCCTGGCAACTAGTGAGATGTCCCAATACAGCAGAATCACATTGCAAAGATGTACATGAAAAGTACTATTGTATACTACTATGCATGGTGGGATGGGAGGGGATGTATAGGTCAAAGGATACTTTGTGGATTAAATCTGTCAGAGGAGCAAGGGGGCTGGGATTTCTGCAGCTATTTCAATGCTAATATAAGCTGCACTTTCAGGAGTAGGGACCCCAGTCACCCAAGGCAGTCTTGGGACATCCCAAATAATTGCATTTGAATGGATGGCTATGTGAAAAATCCCATCTGTCCCAGGGCCTAAAAATCTGCATAGCCCTGAGACATGGCCAGATGTCCTTAGGCAGACCTTGGTCTGGGAGGCTATTAGGCTGGATGGTTTGGAGAAACTATTCAGCCTAAATGCTTATGAAAAATGGTTACCTGAAATGTACTCAGTCTCCCCAATCTGACTCTGACTCTTCAATGGAACATCCACCTTCACCATTACCCAAGTAGTAGATGTCAATATCTGCTTTGCATCTGGTGATGTCACCCTGATAACCCTGTTTTTAGCCCCATTGGATTCTGAGTGTAAGATAGTACTCAGACATGACTGGCTCACCCACTACAATCCATTGATTGATTGGGTACTGAGTAGTCTAACTTTCCAGACTCCTATACAAGGAATGCCAACACCATTGACACCCCCTGTAAGTCTGGTTCCTACCAGTCTTCCTGACCCTGGTCCTAGCAACCAACCTGGCCTTGTGCCATCTGTACCAGTCACTGACTCCCTGGCTTGCACCCCCCTGAGGGCCCCTCACATATCCCTGGTTAATGCAGCCACCTTTGTATGTGCCTGCAAACTTGAAGGGTCCACCCAGTTCCAACTTCAGCTCCACCCCTCAGACTCAACTCAGGCTTGATCAGCCTCGGCCTCATCCCCTCCAGACTTACCCAATGTCCTGGAGGGGTACCATGACTTCACTGATGTGTTCAGCAAGGCCAAGGCCTTGACACTCCCACCTCACCAGGAGTATGACCTGAAGATAGAGCTTGAAGAAGGAACAACCCTGCCTCTCAGCACTATCTACTTGCTGTCCCTGGTCAAGCTCCAAGCTCTCTGGACTTTCATTGATGAAAATCTCACTACCAGTTTCATTCATCTGACCTCTTCCCCCTATGCTGTGCCAGTCCTCTTCATTAAGAAGAAGGATGGCTCCCTTCAGCTCTGTGTAGACTTCTGCAGCCTCAACAAAATCACTAAGAAAGACCAATACCCACTTCCACTCATCTCTGACCTCTTGGACTCACCAAGCTGAGCCAAAATCTATACAAAGATCGATCTTCAGCATGCTTACCATCTTGTCTGGATTGCTCCAGGCAATGAATGGAAGACTGCCTTCCAGACTCAGTACAGTTCCTACAAGTGGTTAGTGATGCCCTTCAGCCTCACCAATGCCCTGGCTACCTTCCAACACTTCATGAATACCATTTTTGTGGACATGTTGGATGTCTGTGTAGTTGTCTACCTAGATGACATCCTAATCTACTCTGGAGATAAAGAGTCCCACAAGCAGCATGTCTGAGAGGTACTCCACTAGCTTTGGCTTCATGGCCTTTATGCAAAGCTGGAGAAATGTGAGTTCCACTCAGACTTGGTCGACTATCTTGGCTTCCACCTTTCCCCTGCCAGCCTCACAATGTCAAAGGAAAAGGTCCAGACCATCTGTGACTGGCCTGAGCCTCACAAGGTCAAGGATGTTCAATCTTTCCTCAGCTTCACCAACTTTTACTGCCATTTTATTTTCAACTACTTGGACATCATCATACCTCTGACTTGGCTTACCTGCAAGGGTGCTCCTTGGAACTTCTCCAAGGAGTGCCACCAGATTCAACAACCTCAAGGCTGCCTTTACTACTGCACTGGTCTTAACCCATTTCATCCCTTGGGTTCCCATCACCATTGAGACTGATGCATCAGACTATGCCATCACTGGAATCCTTTCCATTACTTGCAGTGATGGCCAGATACATCCAGTCACCTTCTACTCCTGAACTCTGACCACCCTGGAGTTGAACTATGATACTCACAATAAGGAATTGCTTGCCATTTTCAAAGCATTCTGGACCTGGCACCATTACCTTGAAGGTTCAGCCTCACCAGTCAACATTGTCACTGATCACAAGAACCTTGAGTACTTCTCTACTTCTAAGGTGCTCACCTGCCACCAAGCTTGCTGGTCAGAGTTCCTGTCTCAGTTCAATATGATCATCTGTTTCAGGCCTGGTAAGCTCAGGGCTAAGCCCAATGCCCTAACTAGATGATGGGACATCTACCCCAAAGAGGGGGATAGTGGCTATGCCTGAGTGAACCTGCAGAACCTGAGACTGGTCTTCACCCAGGAGCAAATAGCAGTCTCCGTCCATGCAACCTAACTTGTACCTGGTCTTATGAGCAGTTGCCTTAATGGATGTTGAGAGGTTACACAATCATATCCTGACTGCACTGCTGGATGGCCCAGTCTCACAAATCTGCCTGTCTGACATGTCTGACCCCTGGTGGTCCATAGATGACACCAGTTTCCTTTGGCTGGATGGAAGGATCTACATGCCAGACTCAAATGATCTCTGCCTTAGGGTCTTGCAGCTTAAGCATGACCATCCCCTGTCTGGCCACTTTGGCCAAAATTGCACTTTAGAGCTCATCTGGCATGAGTATACCTGGCCCAGCCTCAGAACATTTGTCAAAGACTATTTCTGGTCTTGCACTGCCTGTGCTTGGGCTAAGGTCCCCCACCACTGGCCTTATGGCCTCCTCAAGCAACTTCCAGTGCCAGAGAAGCCATGGAATTCCATATCCATGGATTTCATTGAGCAACTTCCAGCCTCATCTGGCTTCATGGCCATCCTCATTGTAGTGGACTGGCATTCCAAGCAGGCCATATTCATCCCAACCAATGACACTATCACAGCCCCAGAACTTGCTAAACTCTTCTTACTCCATGTCTTCTCTAAGCATGGAGTTCTGGCCCATGTAACCTCAGACCAAGGCTCAGAGTTTGTTTCACACTTCTTCCAGTCACTTGGCAAGGCCCTAGACATGAAGCTACACTTCACCTCAGGCTACCACCCCAAGGGTGATGACCAGACTGAGTGTACTAACCAGACCCTGGAACAGTATCTCCAAGTCTACTGCAACTACCAGCAGGACAACTGGGCCAATCTCTTACCCTTGGCCAAGTTCACATACAACAATGCCCCTAGCACTACTACTGGTGTATCACCCTTCTTTGCTAATAAGGGCTACCATCCCAACATTTTGGTTTACCCAGAGCACAACCTCACCTCCACTTGGGCTCATGATTATGCAGTTGA